TTGGGGAGGGTTGGGGCTGGTTTGGGGGGCAGCGGGAGGGGGGCACGGGCCGCCCCCCAGATGGTGGGGCCGCGGGGCCGCCCCCGCGCCGGCTCCCGGCTGCGCCCGGCGGTTAATGGAGCGAGCGGGATGTCAGGGGATGTGACGGGAGCGGGAACGCGGGGACAGGGCCGGGACAGATGGAGGGACCTTAATTGGTAATTAAATCCCTCCCTGGCAGGTGAGATGGAGCGGCAGCCGGGCCCCCGGGGGGGGTGAGGGGGGAGGAGGAGCCGCTCCCCGGCACCATCAGGGCTGGGGAGGGGGTCGAGCCCCATTCCCAACCCTGTCCCATCCCTTTGTCTGGAGCAAACCCAGCCCTGAATCCCCCCCCTCCAGGGCCGCGGACCCCCCTCCTGCAGCCCGGCAGGGAGGGGACAGGGACACACGGGGGACAGGGACCTGCAGGGCACCCCAGAAATTTGGGCAGTGGCTCCTTGTCTTGGACCGTTTGTCCCCGACATCCACTTGTCCCCCCGATTTGTGTCCCCCTTGTCCGTGTCCCCTCCCTCCCCACGTCCCCCTGGTCCTTCTCCCATCGTCCCCGTGTCCCTTTGCTCCGTGTTCCATTTTTCCATGTCCCCTCCATCCCCACGTGTCCCCTCCCTCCACGTGTCCCCCCGGTCCTTCCATGTCCCCTTTTTCCACGTCCCCTCCATCCCCACGTCCCCCTGGTCCTTCTCCCGTCCATCCACGTGTCCCCCTGGTCCGTGTCCCCTCTTTCCATGTCCCCTCCATCCCCCTGGTCCTTGTCCCTGCTCCGTGCTCCCTCTTTCCACATCCCCTCTATCCCTCCATCCCCGCATCCCAAGGGACACGGGGCGCAGGCGGAGGGGGAGAGGAGGGGGCAGAAAACCCACCCAAGCCCCCCCATCCCACCCCAGCAGCGGGGAGGGCCGGGGGGGGGTGTTTTATCTTCCCATCATTGTCTCCCGGGAACGTCCGGGATAATGGGAACAGCGATCGGGCGGCGCCGGCCGAGCCTTCCCCCGCCATGGGGAGGGATGTTCATAAGGCCCTAAAGAAGCCCCAAAAGCTGGGAGGGGGCCCCCGGGATATTCATAAGGCCCTAAGGAAGCCCCAAAAGCTGGGGGGGGGCCCACTGGGTGGTGGTGGTGGGATACGGGGTGGGGGCACCGCCTGACCCCATTGAATTCCCCGTCAAACCCCCCCGCGGGGTCTCTGCCCTCTGCCCCCGCCGGGACCTGCGGGGCGGGCCGGGGGTCCCGGGGGGGTCAGGGGCCGGGGGGCCGAGCGATCCCCGCGGCGGGGGGGCGTTAGTTCCAGGGATAAAGGGGTTTTATGGCCGGACCCCCCCGCGCCGGATGCCTTCGCTGTGGAGACGGTGGTGACGGTGACCCCCCCAGACCCCCCCTCATCCTCACGGAGGGACCCTCCGGGCCCCCCAGCTCCGTCCGCAGCCAGCCGGGAGCGGCAGACAGCGCTTAATTAGCCCGTTAATCACCGTTAGCGGGGTAATGAGGGGCTCCCCCAAGCCCGGCTGTCTCGGCGCGACCCCCGGGGGTGGCACCGGGAAGGGGGGATTCGACGGGAATGTGGGAGGGGGGGAAGAGCTGGAGCCGGGCTGGGACCCCCGAGTGATGCACCCGGGGACAGGGATGGGGAAGGGGATGGGGACAGGGACGGGGACAGGGATGGGGACAGGGGTCCCACAAAGCCCCACGTCTTGGTCCGGGTGTTAATGGCATCGCCCCCAAACCCCACGGGGCAGGAGCCCCCACAGCCCCACAGCTGCTTCCCATGGGGTCAAAAACCCCCACAACCGGGTCCATAGGACCAGGAGCCCCCACATTCCCTCCCCCAGCTGGATTCCATAGGGCTGGGAGCTCCCACGTCCCTCCAAGTGCATCTGAAGGGACCAGGACACCCCACAGCCCCATAACTGGATCCCAGGGGACCAGGACACCCCACAGCCCCATAACTGGATCCCAGGACACCCCACAGCCCCATAACTGGATCCCAGGGGACCAGGAGCCCGCACAGCCAGATCCCATGGGGTTAAGAGGCCCCCACACTCCCCTAACTGGATTAATGGGGCCAGGAGCTCCCACATCCCTCCAAGTGCATCCTAAGGCACCAGGAACCCTCAGAAAAAGATCCCATGGAGTCAAGAGCCCCCACATCCCCCCAGGTGGATTCCACGGGGCCAGGAACCCCGAGATCCCTAGGGATGAGGGTCCCTGTGCCCCACGCCCATCCCCGGTGGGGACAGACCCCCATGGCTGCACCGTGGCCCCATTGGGAACCCCTTGCCCTATTAGGGACCCCCCTTGCCCCACTGGGGACCCCTTTGCCCCATTTAGACCCCCTACCCCACTGAGACCCTCATGCCCCACTGGGGACCCACTACCCCACTGGGATCCCCCTGCCCCATTGAGGATCATCCTGCCCTATTGGGACCCTCCTGCCCCATTGGGTCCTTCCTGCCCCATTGGGAACCCCCTGCCCCACTGGGGACTCCCCCTACCCCACTGGGATCTCCCTGCCCCATTGAGGACCACCCTGCCCTATTGGGACCCTCCTGCCCCACTGGGAACCCCCTGCCCCATTGGGGACCCCCCCTGCCCCACTGGGGACCCCACTGAGGACCCCCCTGCCCCACTGGGGGTCCCAACCCCGGCCCGGGGGGTGGTCCCACAGCAGCCCCAGCCCCATAAGCAGCTGTGACGTGTCGAGGGGGGGGGGGGCCAAAGACCCCCCCCGGGGCAACATATCTTCTAGCGTGAAGAGAGGGTGGCAGCCCCGCCCCAAAAAGGCCGGGGGGGGGGGGGGGCGCCCCCCCCCCCCCCCCCCCTCCCCCCCCCGGGAGGGCCCGGGGGGGGGGGGGGGGGGGGTGATTAATGGGGGGCCATCGCTCACTGTCCGGCGGGCAGCGGGGCCCCCCCGCGCTAACGAGCGGCAGGAATAATGAGCGGTGTCAGCCCGCGGCCGCCCCGCCACGGAAACTCATTACAGGCGTCACCGCCGGCGACACCCGGCCATGAATCAACTGCTCTGCTATGAAATTAAAATCCAATCGCCCCCCCCCCCCCCCCCCCCCCCCCGGGGGGGGGGGCTCGCGCGGGGGGGGGGCCGCTCTGCCCACCCTCAATCCTTCCAGGGCCACCCCAAGGACGGGGCGTGGAGATCCAGCACCACTGGGGTCATGCTCGAGGGGGTTTAGGGGCTTCTCTTCCCCCCAAAATAATCCAGAGGGGTGGGAGAACTGGGTTTATTCAACAGCCACCCCCCTGAGGGGGGCTGTTTTGCTCCCCACCCCAAGGACAGGGGGTCCCACATCCATGGGACCACCCCCAGGGGGGTTTAGGGGCTCCTCTTCCCCCCCAGAAAAAATCCAGAGGGGTGGGAGAACTGGGTTTATTACTCAACAGCCACCCCTACCCCCCAAGGGGGGCTTTTCTGCTCCTCCACCCCACCCAGGGCCACCCCAAGGACAGGGCCTGGAGATCCAGCACCACTGGGGTAACCCTCGGGGGGGTTTAGGGGCTTCTCTTCCCCCCAAAATAATCCAGAGGGGTGGGAGAACTGGGTTTATTCCTCAACAGCCAACCCCCTCCCAGTGGGGGCTGTTCTGCTCCCACCCCAAGGACAGGGGGTCCCACATCCCTGGGATTATCCCGAGGGGGGTTTAGGGGCTTCTCTTCCCCCCAAAAAAATCCAGAGGGGTGGGAGAACTGGGTTTATTCAACAGCCAACCCCACCCCAAGGGGGGCTGTTCTGCTCCCCATCCCAAGGACAGGGGGTCCCACATCCCTGGGATTACCCCCAGGGGGATTCAGGGGCTCCTCTGCCCCAAAAATCCAGATGGATGAAAGGGGAGAATTCGTTTGTATCCCAAAATCCACCCCCCCAGGAAGGGCTGCCCCCCCCACCAGGGTCACCCCAAGGCCAGGGCATGGGGGGGGTCCCACATCCCTGAGACCACCCTCAGGGGGTTTAGGGGCTCCTCTGCCCCCAAAAATCCAGATGGATGAACGGGGAGAATTCATTTGTATCCCAAAATCCACCCCCCAAGGCCAGGGCAGGGGGGGCTCCCTGGGATCAACCTCAGGGGGGTTTCGGGGTTCTTCTCCATTCCCACCAAAATCCAGATGGATGAGTGGGACAATTTGCTTTATTCCCCCAAATCCACCCCCCTCAGCGAGGCCAGGGACACCCAGCAGCACCCCCGGGGTGTGAAGGGGGGGATTTGGGGGGCAGGAACCCCGGGGGGGTCACAGGTTGATGCCCATGAGGTTGACGGGGCGCCCTCCGTAGCGCTTGGAGATGTCGGCCTCGATCTGCAAACACACACCAAGGGGGGGCTCAGGGCGGGCAGGGGGCAAACAGGGGGGTCCCCAGGGGGTCCCCCCACCTCCCTCACCAGCTTCTGCAGCTCCTTGGTCTTCTCCAGCAGCCGGTCGAGCTTGGGCTCCAGGGATCCCTGCTCTGCCAGGGCCTCCCGGCGCTTCTGGGCCATCGCCTCCTTCTTGGCCAGGAGCAGCTCTGCCTGCTTCAGCTTCTGCTTCAGCAGCTCCGACACCCTCTCCACGTACCTGGGGGGCACAGACAGCCCTCAGCACCCCCAGACAGCCTGGAGACACCTCCAGACCCCCCCAGACACGCCAGGGACACCCCAAGCCTGGCACAGCTCCGGAGCCACTCGAGTGCCATCCTCACCCCAGCACAGCTCCACCTCCTGCTCTGCATCCTTCCCAGGTGCCATCCCCGTCCTGGGACACCTCCAGATCTGCCCCAAATGCCATCCCCCATCTCAGGACACCTCCAGAGCCACACCATGTGCCACCCCCAATCCTGGGACACCTCCAGAACCATCCCAGGTGCCATCGTCACCTCGGGACACTTCCAGATCCTGCTCCAGGTCCAGCCTGAGTGCCCCATCCTGGGACACCCCCAGATCCTCCTCCAGAGACACATCATGTGCCACCCCCACCCTAGGACACGTCCAGATCCTCCCCAGGTGCCACCCCCATCCCGGGACACCTCCACCTCCAGATCAAACCTGGGTGCCATCCCCACCTCGGGGCACCTCCAGAGCCACTCCAGTGCCATCCCCACCTCGGGACACCTCCTCCTCCTCCTCCAACCCCCCCTCCCCATGCCCCAGGACCCCTCCCCATGCCCAGGCCCCTCCCCAGCCGTGTTGGCACCTGGGTGAGGCGAGGATCATGCAGAGGTGCTGGACGCTGCGGGAGCAGAGCTGTGCCAGCACAGCCCGGGCCGTGCCCAGCAGGGAGCCCACGTGGGCACTGGTCTGGCCCTGCAGCAGGGCCGGGGCCAGCTGGAGCTGGCTCATGGCCACGATGTCGGCCTCGTCCTCCATCTCCACCAGGCGCTGGGCCAGGAACAGCTCCAGCTGCGGGGACGGGACGGCTGCGGGTCCGGCCCTGCTGCAGCCCAGCACACACGGCCCATCCTGCCCCATGCCCACCTCTGTGTGCCCCCATGCCCACCTCCATGTGCCCCATCCCACCCACACCAACCTCCCTGTGCCCCATCCCACCTCCCTGTGCCCCATCCCACCTCCAGGTGCTCTATTCCACTCCACACCCACCCCATGGACCCCATCCCACCTCCATGTGCCCTGTCCCACTCCACACCCACCTCCACGAGCCCCATCCCACCCCACACCCAGCTCCATGGACCCCATCCCACCTCCAGGTGCCCCATCCCACCCCACCCCAACCTCCCTGTGCCCCCCATCCCACCCCACACCCACCTCCATGAGCTCCATCCCTGTCCCTGACCCCACTGCCACCCCACATCCACCTCCATGTTCCCCCCAAACCCACCCCACATCCAGCTCCCTGTGCCCCATCCTACCCCACCCCAACCTCCAGTGCCCCATCCCATCCCACACCTGCCTCCCTGTGCCCCCCATCCCAAACCCACCTCCCTGTGCCCCATCCCACCCCACATCCACCTCCAGTGCCCCACATCCCACCCCACTCCCACCTCCACGAGCCCAATCCCACCCCACACCAACCCCTATGTGCCCCCCTTCCCACCCCACGCCCACCTCCATGTACCCCATCCCACCCCACACCAACCTCCCTGTGCCCCATCCCACCACACGCCCACCTCCAGGTGCCCCATCCCTGTCCCTGTGCCCCCATCCCACCCCATCCCACCTCCCTGTGCCCCCATCCCACCCCATCCCACCTCCATGAGCTCATCAATGAACTGGTTCCGTGTCTCCGGGTTTTCCAGCACCGTCAGGGCATCGGAGCCACGGGCAACCCCCTCCTCGGGCACTGGAGGGGTGAGGGGGGGCTGGGATGGGACCCCCACGGCTCTCTTTGGTCCCAAACCCCCCCTCCCAGCTCAGCACCACCCCACAGGGGGCTCAGGACCCCAACTGTCCCTGCCCACCCAGCACCACATCCTGCCCTCAGCTCCATCCCCAAATCCCTCTGGGCCCTCCCAGGGGGATGAGGGGGGCAGGGAAAGGACCCCCCACCCCAGCTCAGCATCACCCCATGGCACTGCCAGGGGGCTCAGGACCCCAACTGTCCCTGCCCACCCAGCACCCAAAGTCCCCATCCAGCACCATGTCCTTCCCTCTGCTCCATCCCCAAATCCCTCTGGGTTTTGGGGGAGCACTGGGGGATGAGGGAGGCAGAGAAAGGACCCCCCACCCCAGCTCAGCATTACCCCGTGGCACTGCCAGGGGGGGCTCAGGACCCCAACTCTCCCTGCCCACCCAAAGGTCCCTGCACAGCATCCTTCCCTCAGCTCCATCCCCAAATCCCTCTGGGCACTCCCAGGGGGATGAGGGGGGCAGGGAAAGGACCCCCCACCCCAGCTCAGCATCACCCCATGGCACTGCCAGGGGGCTCAGGACCTGCCCTTTCCTTGCCCATCCAGCACCCAAAGTCCTCATCCAGCACCACATCCCGCCCTCTGCTCCATCCCCAAATCCCTCTGGGCACTCCCAGGGGGGCACAGGGTGTGGGGGGCACTGCCTGGCCCCCCTGGGACCCCCCCCAAGCCCCCGCTCACCCTCAGCACCATCCTCCAGCACCGTGATCTGCACCTCCTCATCCCCTCCATCCCCCCAGTCGATGCCACCCTCCTGCTGAGACACAAAGGTGACATCGGGGTGGGGAGGGGGGGACACCAGGACACCCCCCAGGGCCCTGGGGCAGGGCCTGACCCC